CGGGGGGGAGGTTGGGGGGGTTCTGGGGAAAAACGCGAGCTCCCGGGCCCTGTGTGCCTGCGGGCACTGCGGCCTGGCCGCCCCCGTGCTTGTGTTGCCGCTCCCGAGTGCGCTCATATAAAGTCTTGGCTTATATCGTTGCTGTGACATCGTGCTATTTTCTGACTTGTTAAAAGAGCCGTCTGAAAGTAAGCCTGTACTCTGTAAAATCATGGAAACTTATTTAAGGCTTGCTTACCATAAAAAAAGTGAAATAGGGATGAAACAGAAGTCATAGTGGGGAGCCAGCTGAAGTCAGAAGTTTCTGCAGTGTGCCCTGTGTGCGCATGGTAATGTCTGTCAGAAGATAGGTGCTACTTTATTAATCGGTGGTAATTCTGAAAAGTGAACCCTTAAAATATTTTCCACAGGAGGAGTTTGCTCCAGGAAGTGCGTGTGATTACCAGCTACGGCTTCAGGCAGTTGGTTTTTCGTCTTGAAAAAGAGAGCTGTGATGTCTGTGGTACATCGGCTGACAGCGGGGTGGCTCGTGGATCATCTCTCTTTCGTCAATCAATGTGGCTATGAGGTCTGCGACTCTTTTGCGTGCCCTGGTGGTGTCACTCTGAATACTTCTATCACATCTACTGGAGATTGTCATGCTGCCTCTACCTTTGCTGCCACCTCCTCACCTATTCCTGATCCTGGAGATGTGATAGAAACAGAAGGTAAATCAGCAAAAACAAGATACGTGTTTCGGGAGGAGTTCTTTGATGTTTCTAAGCCCTATATAGCTGCAGCTTCTGAGGAGCAACTGTGGCAGGGATGTCCTGAGGTGAGTCTCACAGAAATAAAGGCCAACAGCAACAGAGAGGAACACCAAGAAGGAACCAAGACTAGTGCTGAAGATTCTGTTGCCACCACTAGGAAGGTATGTTCTCTGTAATACAGGAACTACAGTAAACTACAGTAATCCTCTGGTAAATAATGTATCGCTAACATTGTTTTGCACACTTCAGTTTCCCGAGGTTAGATAGAAGAGCAGGACCTTTTCCACAATAGATTTCAAGATGCATGGAAAATGTAAGCACTCGTGAGGATATTCTTGTGTCCTTTGTGTCAGTAATGTGCATCCTGTGACTTGAAAGCAGTAGGTTGCTCACAAAATCTTCTGATGTTGGTTGTGGTCAGGCACTTGAGCTAAAACTGTGGTAGCTGTCAAGATTGGGCAGATTAACAAGAAGGGAAGGACAGTAAGAGTTTACTTTCAATATGTAGATTGTTCAGTACTGTTCCTTTGCACCAAAAAAAGTAAGAGTCACAAGTCTGAACCAGCAAATGTAATTGTGAGGACATAGTTAATTTTCCCATGTTATTGGTAAACTGCACTTGGCAGCTTAACAAATACTTTCTAGTATGGGCCCAAAGGAGGCATGAACGTGAACTGTGGCCTGCACCAGGTACCCTGAGATCCCACTGCTGTGAGTAACATAACATGGCTTTAAGCCTCTGTACCTTGAGACTACCTACAGCAGCCTAGGTATTTTGAGATCATCTTTTTGCTTATTGGACTTATACTTGTGATAGAAAAAGAAGGAAAGTTTCTTCTGCTTTTAAAAGAGTTAATTTGTAGTTCAGGTAGATTTGATTATGTATTTTTTTCTCCCTTCATCATGGAGTGATATGGATTTTTTTTTCATTGTTTGCTCATTCTGCAGAAACGTAAAAGGAAATGTGTATTCAATCAAGGTGAACTGGATGCTTTAGAATACCATTCAAAGGTAAGTCTGAACAAAAGTATGTTTTGCAAGTACATGATACCTGGCTTTGGGCATGTATGGAGTGCAAGGCATGGTTGCAAACAAGTTCTGTTCTTGTAGTTTGTTTCATTAATGGTCATGTCTGCAGTCCTTAAATGAATAAGTGCATAGAGAGAATGTCTTCTACGTAGATGTGTGTGAAATAAACTAGACATGAAACTGCAGCTGAAACATTTTGAAAAGCTGGAAACTGCATTCATAAAATATCTTTTACTGTTACGGATTACTGAGCATTGTATTGAAAGAGTTAAAACCCCCAAGAACAAGGAAGATGTTGTAAATATCTTAGTTACTCAGCTAAACAAAGGAAGGGCCTTTGGGGACCTTTGGGGGATGGCTGGAATAGCTGTGGGGTGGGGAGGCTCCAGGACAGCCTCACTTTGGACAGAGGCCTCTGTGATTTGGGGGATAGCTAGAATGGCTGTAAGGTAAGGCTCCAGGACAATCTCACTTTAGACAACTCTGACAAGAATGCACCTAAAGACATCGTATTTGCCACTGTGACTGATACATCCTGAGGAGCACAAAGAAATCAACGGACACCAATCGAGACCAAGATAAGGAGCTTTCGACAGTGATGAGCCAAGACAAAGACCACCAGGGAAGATGACTGTGCATGTGGATCAGACATTTGTATATATTAATGAGTTACAGGAAATCTCATGTTTATGTAAATGAGTTCTTGGAAGTCCTCTGAATATATATAACTTCATGGTATATAATCTCTGAAAGTTTACCAAATCGTTGGAACACTCATGGTGGAGCGATCCCCAGTGCTGCCCAGTGCTGCAAAGAATGCCTGCTTAGTAACACTCTGTTGTTATTGAGTTTCATTATGTTGGAGTCCTTACCCAGCCTCACCTCGCTTCCCACTTCGGTGAGGAAAGTTAGAAAGCAAGGGGGTTTGGATGTTACCGATCTTTGTATCAGTATAGTGATGAGTTGAATATTAGTTAAACAGGAAGCGACTGTTTTGAAGTGAACAGTGTAACCTGTTCTGAAGATCAACTTATCTTTAGTATATTGGGACACTGTGCTGAAGTTATTCAAAACTTCTCTCGCCACATGTGCTCAAAGATGTCTTGGTCTGCTAATGAGAAAGAATTTTTCCATCTAACATTTTACATTGTCATACTAAAGCATCATGAGTGAATTCTAAGTCTCTATTCAGGCTCATGTCAGTGATATACTGGTGAAGTTACAATTGAATTATGCTGAAGCATGTTAATAAATCCTAGAAATGTAATCTGTGGATGATGTTTGATGTATTCTTGCTGCTTTCCTAAATAGTGATGTGAACCTGAACTAGGACCTACACTTGCTTTCTTTCCTTTGACAAAGGTGTTAGTCATATTGGCCTTTTTGTTTAAGTCTATTTCTCTTGGACTATGTTTAAATGACTGTTTTTGTTCTTTTACATGGCAACAATTTTGTAGTAAACATGTACAATTTGCTATGATCCAATGTAGAGGTCTTGTAATTATTTCTGTGAATAAGCTATGCATGTGCAAAATCACCTTGAAGGAGAGAACATTGAAGTTCAACATCAAACGGAGGTTATGAGTATGAAAACCTCTAAGCTAAAATAAAGTCATTCAACAGTAGGAATAAGGGAAGAAATGAAGAGAAGTTGTTTGGTGTCTTGGAGGCCTATGAAATTTCAGATGATTTTTCGTGAATATGCAAAAAAGACACAGTTTTGAAAAATCTGTGATTCCCAGTTAGCCTCTGGTACCATTCACGGATTAAAATGTATTATTTCTTACTGTATTTGTAGTGTTAAAGGTTGTGGCTCTGCAAGTCAATTTAGATTATTTTGGCAATTATTCATCTCTTTAGAATTTTTTTCCAAAAAAAACCCCACCCAAATTTGTGTCTGCCAGTGAAAGTAGGCATTGAATCCATTTATGAGTTTCAGTCAGAGTCAACATAGGGAACAGTACAAAATAAGCTACGTTCCTTCAGCAGCTGTTTGTTGGAACTACTGTTTAAATTGCTTGGTAGTCAAGAGGCTTTGTCCACCTGTGAATTAACACATGGATGTAAGAAGAAAAGCCATCTGCATTAATTCAGCTATACAACTTGTAGCATTTCTAAAGATATATTTATTAATTCTGTTAAAGCAGTATGAACTTTTACTATCACAGACTTAGGTAGTTAAAAATTATGACTCTGGCCCCTCAGATATCTAGATGGTGGCATTATTAAAGAAATTATTAGAAAAAAATTTCCTTCTCCCTCCTAATTTGGAAATTGAAATAAAGAGTATTTTGTAAAAATGTCTTGTAAAGTTGAGGATTCCACAGTCAGGAGCTTTAGAAACCATAATAAATATTTGAAACCTTTGATAAAGCCAGTGTAATTGGCAATATTGCTATTCTAAATCAACAAAAATGCCTAATTGATAATTAAAACTCAAAAGCTCAATGATTTGAGAATAAACTAGGTCTCTAAATTTTGCAAACAGAGAGTGCTGATGTGAATGAGAGTGTATATAGACCCAAGAATCTTGTCTTCTTGGACTCGCTGGCAGATTATCTGAGAGGTGTGTCACTTAAAAAAGTTGCAAAACGAAGTTCTAATAATTTAATTTGATTTACTGATTGTACTTCTGTATTACTTTTAAAATGCATAAACTATTGTTTTTTTTGAAGTGAATTAAAATGTGGAAAACCACTGATTTTTAGATCCCAGTATACATCTTAATTAAAAATATGTTTATGGGCACAGTAACTTGAAATTAGATTAGAATTTTAAATTACACTTCAAATTACTGCTTTGAAATTTATGGTTTTTTTGGAACAATAATATTCCGCCTCTATTGTCTGTGGAATGTTTTATTCAGTAGTCTCTCACTCTTCCTTTCTCTAGGCTTCTAATTATTGTGACTTTAGAAAAAAAACAACAGAAGTTAGCGTGGCCTTATTATCATGCCCTTGTAGCTTTTGAGTCAATGATCTCAGTAGTTGGCAAGGATCCTTTTCCCACTCTGCGGATTGAAAATATTTTTATTTCTGTCACATTCCCTGATCAAGTAGATACTTGAAAGATAATTTCTTTTTCCCTCGATTCTTTATGACTCTACAGGTCAGGAAGCTCGTTTGGGAAGGCACTTTGCATTTAGTCCAAGAAGGACTCAAAAGTGGTTTTCTTCACCGCAGTACTGCAGACCTCGGTTGCAGGAAGAAGGTTGTTCCGGGACACATTGGCTGTGAGTTGGCTGAATTGTGTGAAATGGCAAAGCAGTTTCCAGCTGTGAACAAAAGTGACCATCACGCTGTCCATGTGCTAGATGATGAAACATCCATTCCAGAGCAGGACCTGCTTTCCTGTGTTACAGAAAACGGCTCAAACTGTGCAAAGATAGTTGTGTTAATGGGACAGAAGTACTTGGTGCCACCAAAAAGCAGTTTCCTTTTATCAGATATTTCGTATTTGCAGCCCCTGCTGCACTGTAAGTATCTTTAGGCATTAGAATTTATCACTTCTCTCCTGCCTGAGAAGGGCAGTTAATGTCAAGATGGCTAAGGACTCAAAGATTAGATTTTAATACACATCATCGCACTGACAGGAAATGCTGCTGCAAGCTGTCAAAGTGGTGGTTCTACCCTTCTGCAGATAGGTGAGGGCTTTCAAAGGAATCCTGAGTGGTTAGGAGCTCATATCATGGGGAATTATCTATCTCCAGGAGGCTCCTTTAAAAATCTCACCCAAAATATGACAGTTTTTGAGTGTGTTCTGATTCCGCTGTCAGCATAGAAGTCAAGTAAATGCATTAAATTGGGACTAGCTGTGCTGCTGGGCGCCTGTCCCACAGCAGGAGGCTTTAACATACGTAAGTCCATGCTGCTGCTGGGGAGGTGTTCCTGCTGTCTTGGATTTTGGCTAGGTTAGACCATGGGAGAGGGATGAGATTATCCATCTTAAAGCAAGGGTTCCCTCACAGATTCGTCCTGTTTAGCAGCAGAGTCTATTTAGATTGGCACAAACAGATTGTGAAATCGACCCCTGTGTCCCCCAGAGAAGATGATGGTTTGAGAGGCTGCTGCACCCAGCTGGAGGTGAACACCACTTTAGCAAGACCGTGAGTAGCAAACCTGAGTTGACTTCTCAGCTGCTGCCTTTCACAGCTGAGAGCATTGGGTTAAGCCAAAATCAGTGACAGAGAAATGTTGGGATTTTAGAATTGATAACTCCTCTATAAAAGTAAATCAAAAGCTGTCCAAGCCAGCTGTAACGGGCCATGCAGAAAGCTTTCAGCTGACAACATGCAGCAGTCTTCATTGTACTTCAGCATTCCATTAGCTTTCAATTTGACCTTAGTTATTATTATTAGCAGCAGCAAGCTTCATCAGACAGTCTTATAGGAAAGATGTTGCCTGTGAGCAAGAGCTGGGGATTACTGCTCTACCCTCTAATCAGTAATTTTAGAATTGTTTAGTTACGTATGTTTTGTCCCTTCTAATATGCAACTTAGATGCTCACTGATTTTTTTTATTTTTTTTTTTTTTTAAGAAGATATGTAGGGGGTGGAATCTTACTATCAAAATAATAATTTTTTGTTTGAAGTCCAGAATGTAGCCAGTGAGCTGTTTTCAGCTGTATGAAAGAAGGAAGGTCACTATCGCTGTGCTATTAGTAAGCACAGCTGTGCATATAGAAAGTTTGGATTCTCCCAGAGGTCAAGAGAGTACTCCAAGAAATTTGAGAAAATACTTTTGAAGTAACCAACAGTGAATGTTAATATAATGTGATGACTTCAGATTTTTTTTTTTTTTGAGGAAGTCTACTGTCCGTTTTATTTATTATTTTTCTTCTTCCCTTTCACCTGGCAAAAGAGAAGTGTTTCTTGCCGGTCAATCCACTGTCAGGATAACGCTTCCAATCTTAATAAAGGAATAAGATGTAGCAAGCACATTTAATGGACATGAAATACTAAACTGTTGTTCTTATTAGCTGTTTAAATAGTTAGCATCAGACTCAAAGAAGGAACAAATATGTTCTGTGGAAAAATAAAATTGGAGAGTCCTGTTTTTTCATGGATGTGTCCTGTATCTTCTATCCTCCATGTAAAGTAAACCTAGCTTGTCCTGTGAAAACTCTTTCACTTCTCTTCCCCTTGTCCATTAATTTCCATTTCACACACTGGATCTAGCTCTCTCTCTCTCTCTTCACCTCCAGTAGTACAAACCACAGTTTTCCAGGGCTGGCTTGGAGCTCTGGGTGTCCCAGTTGGCCTGCTGAAAGATCAAACAGGACAGGAATCTTGCGTTCAGGGTTGCAGCCTTTCACTCAGCTGGGTGCCTTATTACGTAGCTTCTGTTAGGAAACTCGGAGAAATGTTCATCTTTGAGACTTGCACTTGACTATCAGTTTTTTTGTGGAAGTCCCTCAGATGTTCAAAATTTCTTGGAGGGGTCTGACACAGATCACATGAACATCCTTTCCTTAGGTAATCAGCCTAAAAATCTCTGAAGTATATGATTATCTGAATTAAAGCCAGCATACTAGAAGCCTTTTAACTGCTTATTTGGAAAGAAGAGGAGAAAGTTGCATTTTGCTGCATATCAATTTTAACTAGTAGATTTATTTTAAAACTATTTTACTGGCTTTTTGTAATTTCACTTCCCAGACAAGAAAGAATATGATGTAATTGTGATTGATCCACCATGGGAGAACAAGTCCGTTAAAAGGAGTAACAGGTAAATTTTGTAGTAAAATCAAACAAATTTTGTTTTCTTGGCTTACAAAGGGTAATTAACAATGTGATACAAGACCAGTATAACTGTGAGACTGAAGCTTAAACTAGCAAATATTTTGTCGCATGCTTACCTTCAACATCTATGAAATGTCTCAGGGATTTCACTGAAATAGCTTGGATAATTTGCGTACAAAATATTTGCAAGAGTAGATCTTAAATTACCTAACTGGTGAGAGAATGTTAGTCCATAAGACTAATAAGGAAAGTCTGGAATCAACTGTTCTGTAAGGCCCAGATCATGCAGATGCTAATTTGAAATTAACAGGGTTACTTCAGTGGGCACAAAGCTAGATAAATGTAGAAGTATTCCCAGGACTGAGGTTCTATTTAGAAGTTTTAGGGTTTTAATTTTTTTTTTTTTTTTTTAAATTTGAGCTGTAGTTTGAGCTTCAGTCTGATGGGAAAGAGAGGAAATGATAATGCAGCAGTGAAATCCTCAAGTGCAATAGGAACTTTCTGAGTACTGTAGTTTATGAAGTCATTAACTTAAAATTTTACAGCCTTCCTTCTCTGCTGAGTAACATCAGGCTTATACCAGTGGAGCTCTCTTGATTACCATAGAACTGTATCCATGTGAAAGAAGGGCAGACAGGAAAAATTGCCTTACAACTTTCTAGAATAATGTCTACTGTAGCTTTTGAAGCATGTTATCAAGACATAATTGGAAGATGCAGAGACCAATTAGTAGGTTTTACTTTGAAAGCCTTACAAAAACCTCTAGAAACTTGGAGTTAAACTTATTCAAGTGTCTGTCTTAACTATGTAAGTTACTCAGAGGAAAATTGTAGTTATTCATAAGTGTGAATTAGCCAGCAAGATCCTCTCTCCCTTAGGAAATAAAGGCAAAAGGTAGAAGAGCTATCACAGCTGTTGCTTACCTTGTAAGTGGCTAGTCTTTATTAAGCATTTCGCATCTGGGTTGTGAATCTCATTTTCTTTGGGCAATCTAGTCCAGGAGGTATTTTGGATTTTACCCTTGTTACCTGTTTCTCCCTGTTGCATTGTATAGGGATCCCAGGTACACAGACGATGGCTGTCGATTCCAGTAGGCAGTGTACCAGGGGTTTTGATGCTGCAATGTGTAGGTTCCATGAATTGCAACTCCCTGATAATGTAGAATAGCATCATGAGAAAAATGGCAGAACAGGACAGAATCTGGAAAGCGTACTGTATCCACTGATGTAGCATACAGTTAGCTCAAAAATGTGCAAAACTCTTCTGAATGACCTAGAGAACTTTTACCATGAATGGTAATTGAAAAATAATTAATAACTTCTGCAGATAATGGGAGAATTGATTGCTCTTTTATGAGCTTTTAACTTGCCAGTCAAATTAGTGTTGTCCTTGCACTTGTAAATGACTATTTTCACTGCATAGCTTTGTCCTGGCATAAAGATGAGAGTATTGAATTACGTATGATAGTTCTTAAATTAAACTTGAGCTTTTAGACTTCTTCAGAATCAGAACTCATAGTACTTTATTTGGGGGAACAGTAGAAATATGTAGTTAGAGGTTCCACTCAGTAAAACATAAGTACATACACCAATGATTTTATCTCGGGATCCATCAGATTTGGCCATTGGGTGTCAGTCCTGATCCGTTTTTATGACTTGTGTTGTCAGGAGATAATTCTTGAAATGTCTTGGCTGTGTAATTTCTTTATCCATTTGTGTTGCTCTGCAGTTTTTGAATTTGGTATATGCTAACTTGCTTTCTCACTGTATTGGCGGATAGATACAGCCACTTGTCTTCATGGCAAATCAAGCAGATGCCTGTACCAGCACTGGCTGCTCCAAATTGTCTGGTAGTCACGTGGGTGACTAACAGACAGAAGCACTTACGTTTTGTTAAGGATGAACTTTATCCTCATTGGTCTGTGAAAACACTTGCCGAGTGGCACTGGGTAAAAGTAAGTTCTCAATTTGTTTTGTTGCTTTCTTGGAGACTGAGAGGGCTTGCACTGTGACACTTTATATTCTTATAATTTGTCTATTTACTACTGTGTGCTTTTGTATTTGAAAGGTATGGTATCATCAGTATCTTCCTTTTTGTCAAAGAAAATGTCTCGAAAAAATTGGGTATGAAAATCTTCCACTGTGTATTTTTAACTCCTTTGTGCCAGATTACTACAGCTGGAGAATTTGTGTTGCCTTTGGATTCTTTACACAAAAAGCCCTATGAAGTTCTTGTATTGGGGAGAGTTCAAGGAGACGTAAAGGAAGCCTTAAGGTATGCCAGAATATTTATGGTAAATGTCTTTTTTGAGGCTGCTAGGATTTTCTTTATATATATCACTTGTTCATAACACAATATAATGTCCCAAAATCTTCTCTTGGTGTCATCTTTTGGCTGATTGTAGACCTAAAAATAGTCTTATTAGCTTTGGGATAAGGGAGTGCTTTAGTGAGATTAAAGGATGGAAACGTTTGTTCCTTATATCTGTCTATGTTGGGGAACTGCAGATAAAAGCCTCATGGACAGGGCTTCCTTTGCTGACAGGTTCTCTTGGACCATGACTGTTTGGCACAGGCTGACACCACTTTGGTGGTGCTGATGTTTTTCTACGCATGAAAAGATACAAGACTAAATTGTTTGTTTGCAGTGGCTTTATATGCCTATTGTTAACTATGTTTTGCCTGAAGCCTCAGTGATTTCATAAGCTGTCCTTTTATGTATTATGGCTGAGCAACATTTAACTTCCCTTAGACTTATCTGAAGTTTGACTGTGAATGAACATTCTGTGTCTTAGCTCCCATCTGAAGTAGCTCTGCGAGAGCTGCAGCATCACATTTGGTGGTATTCATTCTCATGCTTCTTTTCGTCTTCTGATTTATACAACAGGAAATCTGAAGATGTACTTCCAATTCCAGAACATAAGTTAATTGTCAGCATACCCTGCAGTCTGCATTCACATAAACCCCCTCTTACTGGTGAGTTTTGGTTTGTTGTGTAATGTTTCTGTAGGGCATTGGACTTGGCTGTCTGACATGGTGTACGTAGAATGGGTTACCTTTATATATGAAGTGCCTTAATTTCCCATATGCCAAGCAATTTTGCTCGACAGGACTTGTGGTTCCTCAACGTTTCTAAAAATGTTGTCAGGCACCTATGTCTTCGTCTCTAAAAATGAATGTGAAAGTAGAACTTCAAGAATTATTGTGTGAATATTTTGGGTAGACATGTAAAAATAAAGAAGTTGCATTTTTTAATTTTGTTTTTTAAATGCTGCAGGAACAGTTTACAAATACCGTATGTATGAAGTTATGCCAAATGACCTGAAGTACCTTACAGGTTGGGGAACTTTGGGAATATATAAAATATGGTATCTTCTACTTAGTTAATAAAACCAGAAACCTCTTTCTTTATTACGTCATCTTGAAAGAAATGTTTTGATTTCTGCATGAGTTTATATACCTGCAGTACAGTTGTGCCTTTAAATCCAAAAACTTAATTACTTTAAAAGTGTTAGCAATAAATAAACGTATTTAATACCTCTCCCAAAAATGGTTTCATCCTTCCCCAAGGGGAAGACTTGTGATGAATCTACAAATGTTTCAGGTACACGTGGTGCTATGTAATCACATCAGAAAAGGCAGGTAGAAGAAATGCATAATGCTGTTGGAGAGGAGAGGCATCACGGTTTGCTTCACTGACATGCTTTCCCCAAGGACCAGAACAACTTCAGTTAGGAAGCTGATCTGGACAGTTGTTACACGTTCAGGGAGGCTCTAAAATTTGTATTTTGGGCTTGTATTTATTAAATTAACATACATATATGTACCTGTTCAAAAACTAGTAGAAGACACGTACTTTGGTCAGCTAAAAATTAAAAAAAAAAAAAGGCAATTCTAGGAGGATCTTTTTTGCAGTTTTGAAGCCACATCTTTAAGAATTAGGGCTACAGCAAGAAGTATATGTGTTGATTTAAGCTAGTGAAGGGTAGGGTGGTGATTTGTGAGGCAGCCACCTAGGGCTTCTTCCGAAAACCAATACTCGACAGCACACTCAGACACAAACAGGAAACTTGTGAGGTATCCAAGGGTGCAAACCAGCAGTTTGTATGTATTATAGAGAATGCTAGTGCCAGAATGGTCTTCAGAACAATTCTTTTGTAGGGAAGAATCTAGAAACCATGTTGGGCAATTATAAATTATAATCCTGAATGGGTTTGAAAGAAATTGTCTGTGCTAATTTATATTGTTCTTGAGTCTTTACTCGAATGCTGGGATTTGATACCATTGTGCAGCATTTACATTGCTATTTGAAAAATGAATTTGCTGTTGAGCAGTATCAGTGATTTACAAGGTTTTTATAAAAATCCATGTGTATCCTACAGTTTTGGCAGCTCCATTCTGAACATGGTTATGGAATGTAAAGCTAATTGCTGATGCTTTGACTTCAGTGTTGTAAAAGGGTATCGCTTTCATGACCGGACAGTATTCTCAAGTGGCCGGTAGAGAGCAGCTGAGCTACGGCCTAGGGTGGTTCAGAAGAAATGTGAACAGAAGCAGAGATTTGGCACTGGGGGAGAAGGACACTTGATGAGTCACACGCATTCTTTATGCTTGATTTAACTAGTAACAAAGCCAAAAATATTAGTATTTACTGATGCGGTCTGGCACTTTATTTCTTATTACTGCTATAAAGGCTGTATGTTGGTACATGTGTAGCCCTTAATGATTGATTATAACAGTTTATCTCTCTGGGGGAAGAGAAAGATGTAAATTAAAGTAAGTCATCAAAAAGAGATGTTTGGGTTCCTACAGTGCATTTAACCATGAAATTGCGACTGTAGGGATTTTTGGAGATGCATGTGTTGTGTTCAATGCTTAGAGCTTTAATATATCATTGTAAATGTACTTAAGCTTCTTTATGCAAATGCGTTAAATTTCATTACTCCTGATTTTGGTTCAAGTAACAGCAGGTTTTCTTCCTAATTCAATTCAATGTTGCTCTTAGAAGACATAGAAGGTATTCTGTTACACAGGTGATATGAAGTAATATAGAACTTCAAACACCTTTTTTCCTTTTCCTATTTTATAGATTCTTCTTGTTATAGCCATTTCTCCTCCAGGTTTTAAGTATGTACATTTATTGTAGGAAAATGATATTGTCATATAGGAGTGTGCCTAAAGACACTGCAGATAATTCTTGGCTGTGTTCTAGCCACTTTGCATATCTCCGGCAGAAGAGTGCAGTGGGAAATCTTGGGAACTCCCTCCTCCTGTACCAACCCTGGCTTGTTTGGCCATGTTATAAAAGTGTTCTTGGAAGTAAAAAGAAGTAAATGCCTTTTGTTTCCTTATGCACCTTGTGAGCCCTCACTGTTAGACTAACTGATAGATGCATCAACACCTAGGTTTAACTTGAAGCTCAGGAAAGATGCAGAGATGTAAAGCTGTCTTTGTGCTGAGTTTCAGGTCTCTATCTGGTCCTGCTTCAGGGATTAGACAAACTGGGCGATAAGGATCTCTACATTGCACTCTTTTGAAAGGTTACTGTAAAATGGGTTCAATCATGTGCTTTGCATGGCTCACAAATCAGTGAAAAGCTACAGCCATTTTTACTTTACGTATCCAATTTGCGATGCAGAACTTGCTGTTTAGGTGAAGGAAGTTCAAAAGATAAGGGGAAAGTGTTGCTTGTTTCAAAAATGATTCCTTTTGCTTATTTAAACGTTTTTAGCAGCATGCATCTTCAATACATGTTTGGGATTAAGAGTAGCCAGGTATGGCCAGTATCCTGCCTGACTGCCAGATTGCGCTTCAGAAGGAAGTGGGTTTTCTGGAAGAGCAGTGTTGTATCTGCCAGCTGACTTTGTGCCAGCTTCGTGTGTCCTCGGGCATTAGATGCCCAAGTATAGGTGCCAGAGTTGCTGTTGTAGTGTTTATGACATCTGCAAGTGATAAAGAATAATCTATTTATCATCTATTTAAGCTGTTTATTGTCAGTGGTATCTGTAAGTGGGTAGAAGTAATTGTGTGGGTGGTTTTGGTGGGTTTTTGGGAATCTATTGCTACAGTAGAAAAACTTACTGTTTAGTCTTTCTGCTGATGTAGATCCTCTAACCTGTTTTCAGAGGAAAAAACTCGAGTTTGCTTAAGGGCTGCAAGTCAGATCCATGTGTGCTAAGATAGCCTTCTGATGATATAAAAGTCTATTAAAGAAGCTATAATTTGAAGCTTGAACACTGACTTTTCTTATTTTAAGGAAACCAGCGTAGTAAGATTTTGTGCCAACAAAATACAGCCACATTATTGTCCTCTTCATATGGTAATTTCCATTGGAGTGCAAGTTACTGCCTGATGTGATTATGTGAATACCTGCAACCTGGCAATGAAAAATTGTCCTGTAATGTGATCTTGAATTATATGTAATCTGTCTCTGTTTTTAAAAAAAGCTCTGACTTTAAGAAAGACCCTGTCTCTGGCAGCAGGAGAGAGGGAGATTCCTGGGACTTCCTTTTTAAGTTCTGTAACCAAATTGATTGAAAGATTGGCACAAGCTTCCTGCTTCTGCTGAACTGACTCGTTTTTTTGGCTACCTCTTTTTTGCTTTCTAGCAAACCAGTCTTTGAGGTTGGTTGATCTCCTGAGTGTGCTTTTAAAATTTGTTCTTTTAGGCATGGAAGTTTCTGGTGCTTAGTAAGACTGCTTTTGATTACTGGACTTAGTGCTGTGATGATATTTTTAATCTATGCATTTTAAGAACAAATGTCAACATTACTAATGTGCTCTTAATGAAATTTTATCACCTAAATAATTGCTTCCTCTACTTAGAAGCCTGTATAAAGCATAAAATGGTTCTATTTTGTTTTTATATGGAGGGTGGGAAAAAGTCATATAAAGCCTGACTGTGCAGTAAGCTCTGCATGATCTTATGCCCGTTAGGGTCAAAAAGGTATCCTACAGATGTCAGGATCTGTTCACAGAGAGCTTATTGAAAGCTTTGGAGCTTTGCTTTCCATAGTCTCTCCGTTCTCTTCTGTGGAAGAAGTGCAGCCTCCTACAGCATGGGCTTTCTTGGATGATCAAGAGAATAGATTTTTGGAAGACCTTTGTTAAAGTCATAGAATCATAAAATGGTTTGGGTTGGAAGGTACCTTTAAAGGTCACCCAGTCCAACCCCCCTGCCATGGGCAGGGACATTTTCAACTCGGTCAGGTTGCTCAGAGCCCCATCCAACCTGACCTGGAGTGTTTCCAGGGCTGGGGCATCCAGCGCCTCTCTGGGCAACCTGGGCCAGTGCCTCACCACCCTCATGGTGAAAAATTTCTTCTTAAGATCTAGTCTGAATCTACCCTCTTTTAGTTTAAAACCATTACCCCTTGTCCTGTGGCAACAGGCCCTGCTAAAGAGTCTGTCTCCATCTTTCTTAGAAGCTCCCTTATATATAGAAAGGCTGCCCTAAGGTCTCCCTGGAGCCTTCTCTTCTCCAGGCTGAACAACCCCAACTCTTTAGCCTTTCTTCGTAGGAGAGGTGCTCCAGTCCTTGGATCATGTTGGCAGCAAATTGTACACAAGAAATCGTTAACAAAATAGAGCATGGAAAAAGGACAAGACATGTTACCACTTTTTTTTTTAATATGGTAATTTTTCAAAATGGTATAAAAGCAGCTACTCATAAGTGGTAATGAAGTCTAATTAAATGAACTCCCATGACACCAAACAGCAGTGTTCATTGCAGCAAGTTTTCTGTCAGAATGTACATTTTCCTCTAAACCTCCCAGACTCTTCTCTGCAAATGTTAGATTTCTTTAAACATTTTAGTTTGCCTCTAAAAGAAGCAGGTTTTTAGAAGAAGGTTCCTGGTGGTAGCAGTATTTTTTAGATTAAATGCTGCCTTAATGATAACCCATCTGAGACATTCATTTGACATTTGTTAAAGATTGGGGAAGGAGAACAGGTTTGTATGCCATGCCAAAATACAAGAAAGTCTGGAAATACCCATTACAAAATATTTATGAAAAAGTTTTGAATGGGTTGAAGCTTTGGAAGAGGCGATCAGGTAGGTAGGAAATGCATCTGGAGTTGGTTAACACTCACTAGAAAGTGAAGTGGATGCTCATCTTTCTGCAACAGGAGCAGGCCATGATGAGGTCAGCTGGGGAGGCTGTGACTGGCAAACTTGATGCAAAAATTCAGAACTTGGATTGCACTGAAAAAAAAAAAAAGGATTCCCTCTCATACTTTCATGTATGCTGATTGGATAGGTTTTTGCTTTCTGCAGTGATCATATCTGAAGAGCCTGAGTCAAACAACATAATGTTGGATTGATGACCTGTATTTTTAAGCTACAGAAATTCAGAAACCACTGGGAGATCTGATCAAAATTGACCCAAGATGTCCTTTCAAAAAGGAACTGATTCCATAGTTTTTCTTCTTTTGTCCTCAGTAACAAAAATTAAAACTTAACACGCAATTTTTAGTATTGATACATTTTTCAGTCTTTCTACCTTTTTTATGTCAGGTACCTCTTAAACTTTTGCTTTTCTCATGCGTATTTTTATACGTAATATCTTTGTCGCTATTTCCTGAAACCTAGTTAGGAGTGTGTTTGACCCAGCCGCAAACTAAATGATTCTGTGTGACAAGTAACACGTTTACCAACAAACTATTTGCAATAATACTTTTCAGGTGCAATGCAAGATCTTTTTCTGCCTCTCCAAGTATACCAGTTATAGTCGATGACACAACTGATGTTAATGACAAGCATCTATTTATTTGGATTTAAGCAGTAAAAATACCCAACTGTAGAAGAAATTTGACGTTTATATTACTTAATCAAAGAACAGAGTTATATAGATATTTCTTCAGTTCCCGAGTTGCTATTTGGGAAAAAGAAGCCCCTGCATTTTTGTAGCCCTTTTAGTGCTGTGCTTATTTAACTGGTGTTTCTTATTTTACCTTTTAACAGTTGTAATCAAAAAAATGCTTTTATCTCCTTTAAGATGCTGCGGAAAAGAGTGTGATCTTAAATAAATAAAATCTTTCCTTAATTATTTATTTTTAGAAGTGTTGCCCCTGTGTTATAGGAGCTGACTGAGTCTTTAGGAGGTGTTTGGTTGATATTAGTGAAAAATTCAGAACTCATCTATGTAGAGGCTGAAATAAATCCTCATTCCCTTTCTCTAAATGAAAACCAATAAATCAAGGCTATTGAAGACCTTGACAGTATTGTTCAGAATTTCAAGGGCACTTACTTAAAATTACTTTTTCACTATAAATAGTGCGGCTGTTTGATGAAACGCCTGAAATTAATTTGCTGTCTCTTCCTTTTTTAATGAAACATTCAGTTTTTCATCCACTAGCAGCACAGGGGAGTTTTATTTGTTTACTATTGTTATTTGTACCTTTGTCACTGTTGTTTTCTTTTTTTTTCTCTTGCACAGCGATTCTGGCAGAGTTTATCAAGCCAGATGCGGAATGCTTGGAGTTGTTTGCTCGCAACCTACAGCCTGGCTGGACCAGCTGGGGAAATGAGGTTTTGAAGTTTCAGCACATTGATTATTTCACTGTTCTGCAGAATGAAAACTGAGTTGGGTCTTGTAGCTTAATTCTGAAATTCCGCACCTTCCCAGCAGGCTCTTGGACTTGCCTTTATTACTGATGGTGCACTCGGAAGGTAACAGAAATAAACCCAATTGCACTACAGTTAAAATCCTTGAAGTGACAGGATATCTGTTTAAAGGTACCTCCATTCCTACAAACTGGTCCTTTTGATGATCTTGAGATATTCAAATACTGATGTTAAAGTGTAAGTCCATCCCTGTTTTTTTCAAACCTCAAGAAAAGAGAGATATTTTAAAGTATTTTCACTGCAGCTATCAAATCTGAGCATCATAAGTGCTATAGTGTTGCACTTGTATTATTTTTAAAGAATGATAATGTGTTGTTTTTAAAGAGTGGCAATGGAAGTAAACAGTTCTGGATTACGTATGTTTCCTTAAAGAAGATTGTTTCTTGCACAACAGTGGATTTTGAACTAAAATACTTATGAAGGCAGGGTGTCCTCCTTTGTATCTGTCTGTCTACCTCAGAGGAAATACAAGGAGCAATGCTTGTGTTCATTGGCAAACGAATTGTTGACTGACCACATCCTAAGTAAAGTTACACTTTTAAAACAGTCAACAATTCCATCTTTCTGTATATGGTGTTGATTCTTTGAATACATTGTAAATGATCGGTCTCAACATCTTAAAAATTCTGCATATGAAGCTGTTAGATTTAACTGAAATTTTAACAGGTTGTAAGTATTTTAAAAATTCTCTTTCCTTATGTTCTTAGGGCTAAAAAGCCATGCCCGTGAGCTGTATTTTTCAGCTGGCATAAAAAAGATCCTTTTTTTTTTTTTTAGGAATGGTACACTTTGTGTATCCTTTGCTGCCCTTAGATTTGCTTTGAAAAATAAAAAAAGGAGATTTGGTGAAGCCTCTGTGACTTACTCATCTGCAGCAGCAGAGGCAGAGCTGCTGGACAAGCTGATTGTCCTGATGGCAAGCTCCTGAGTTCTGACTGTTTATAATGGGGAACAACATGCGTTCCATACCTTCTTTACATTCGTTTCCCTTTTGGTCGTCTGATGAGCTGTGACGGTTTTAAAATTAAAGTTTAAAAACTTTAAATGTTAGCAGATATTTTTTAATAATTTTGTAATAAAAGTTAAAATAAAAACTTGTCAGTGTCTTATATGCAGATCCGGTTTCTTTATTACTGTTCGATTTCATGTTTTGCCTGTTGGAGCAGTGGAGTTGACAAATGCTTTTTTCTTTTTTCTGTCCCCCCCCAGGTAAACATATACTCAAAAATAAGTAAATAATGTAACAGTGACAGTAGTTACCAGGCAAAACACTTCTTGCTGCCTGATTTCATTTAGCCTACATTTTAAACTGTCGGTCTGTAAGCAACCTTACCTACAACTGTAAGGGATAAGAAGGTGCTTTATTTGCTTTCAGTTTTACAAGACATTCCCTACCTGGAGCTTCTGCGGTCCCAGCCAGAATTCCCCTGCCCTCCCAAGATGGTCTCATCCAGTACTAAATGAGTGGATGAGGCTCAAGTATGGAATAAATCATAACTGCTGCACATACCGTGTTTTTCCTTTGTACTCTACAAGAAATGATGATATTGTCTGTTCCACATCCGCTGCTACAAATGGCTCTAGATTATCTTTTAATTGCAAATAAAGGAAAGGGATGAACAGTCTCAGAGATCAGGAAACCACCTTTCTCCTCCTTTGAGCTAAGCGACAGAAGCCTTCGAAGGGAATGACCTTCTTCCAGCAGTTTAAGAATGGATGACCTATTTAATCTGTCTTTTCTGTGGAGTTCCTTTGCAAGTCGTGGCCTTCTAGCCCTCCCTCTGTCTTCTGAGCTCCTGGGCTCAGAAGCTGAGCAGCTAATTCCAGCAGCTGGGAATCCAATCTCCTGAGGATGCTTTGTACGTAGAGGGCATGGGCAGGCAAGCTGTAAGCTTCTCAGACTGGAAATCAAAACTTGAAGATTGGAGCCTAAATAATATGTGATCATGTCATAAATAGTTACAAAACTGTGCCTCGGACGGCTGTTTGCTTCTTTTCCAGTGCTCTGGCTATGAAGAAAACCTTGTGAATGTGACAGAAATGGTTCTACATCTGCAGCCAACCTGAAACCGTTGGGTTTTCCTGGGAGGAGCTTCAGTATATCTCAGCTTGTTGCTAACTCAGAAATCTCATGGTGGTATTAGCAGTTGATAGTTTCAGGGTCATGTTTTAAACATAATTATTGGCCTGTTATGCTTAATTCATAATTTAAATAGCTGCTTACGCTTTTTTAGCTGTCCAAAATCCCAGCTGTCCCCGACCATCCATCAGATCTTTCAGCATCAGTCAGATGATTCCTCTGAGGCAGGATCTGAAACGTACTGAAAAATCAGTGATGAGTGAAGGCAGCGAATATAAAAGGAGAATTTAAGGTCCAGTTTCCTTTTATAAACGAATAGTATTATCTATGCCAATTGCTCTGTGTTACTTTTGTGGTGGAAAGATGGCGTCTGTTGTGTCAAGTCTTGTATCAAAAAGAAAACCTGCTCTGAAGAGTTTACAAACTTGGTAAGAAAGGAAAGAACAAGGGAGAAGATAGGATGGAAGAATACAGGGTAGTCATGAGATGTTGAGGGGTGTATGGTAAGCGGCAGCCTAGGGATTTTGCACATCTTCAGTGTTCCTAAGAAAGGACAGGTTTTCCCCGTCCACCTTTAAAGAGATCTTCTGCTGTTCTATTTTGGCATGTTAAAATTCACACATTCCAAGGAAAAATAGGTGAAGTGTGTGTTTTACCAACAACATTGGCAAAAGAGGAGGTTTTTTTCACTTTTAAATTCTTTTTGTGGCAGTTGGGTGAACTGAGACCTGTGTTTGCTCAAGAATTTTCAGAAAGTACTTTATTTGGTACATCTGTTATTTTAGCAGGATGATGACAAAATAATTCTTTGGCTAGGTGTTCTCCACTACTTAAGGCCTTTTAAATTTATGTCTTACTGCAAAAAAACTCAGTTCATAAAGCAATAAGAAGTAATTTTAGGCTGCTCCTATATGTAGAGTACATCAAGTGTCATAATCAAACTTACTTTTATGAAGCTTCAGGTTTGAGTATGATTTTGAAATGTCAAATTAGCATATGACCTTTACTTGTGTTCTTAAATTCTATAAAGTCAAAAGAATTATATCAGTAAGATATGTTTTTTGGAATAGTGATTGCTAGACGTGAACTCCTGTGGAAACAGGAAAGTTTCTTTTGCAAGATCAAACAGTATTAAAAAAATGAAGTGAGTGAGCAGCTCTTCCCTCTTTGTAGGATTCAGGTCAGGTGGGTGTCAGCAGCAGTAAAAAGCTGACTTTGAAAATCAATTGCCAAACTACATAAACAACTATAAAATTGCAGGAGGAAAATGCTGCTGTGCCTTGAGAAGTGCATTCGTTAGCCTCAACATACCGTTTAAGCCTTACCTACCGCTTATTTTGGGTTGAACATAACAGCAAGGGAATGGCAGATGGCTAAAGAATAGCCAAGGGATGAGGTTTGTTCAAGTTGCTGAAAGAAGTCCTGTGGTGTCCCAGCTGGCAGGTGTTTGCATAGAATCATGGAATAGTTTGGGTCGGAAGGGACCTTTACAGGTCACCCAGTCCAACCCTCCGCAATGAGCAGGGACATCTTCAACTTGACCAGGTTGCTCAGAGCCCCATCCAACCTGACCTGGAGTGTTTCCAGGGCTGGGGCATCCACCATGTCTCTGGGCAACCTGGGCCAGTGCCTCACCACCCTCATGGTGAGGAATTTCTTCCTAGTATCTCATCTACATCTTCCCTCTTCCAATTCAAAGCCATTGCCCCTTGTCCTATCCCTACATACCCTTGTAGAAAGTCCCTCCCCAGCTTTCCTGTAGGCCCCCTTAGGTACTGAGGGTAGGAGTGCATCCTCGCTTGGAAGCACTTGGGCTGCCAAACTGCAGGCGTCCTCCTCGGCCGTTCTCCCTTCCGGCTCTGGAGCTCCTTAGCTCCCTATCAGCCCTATGAGAAGAAGGGCTGGGAGGCATTATTGACACTGAGGTCTTGGCACTGGAATCCCAGTGTTGTTTTTCTGAAGAAACGTGGCATTTTTAATCTTTTCTCTGTGATAGGAAAATTTTACATTTCTATTACTCGTTTCAGAACATTTACATATTTCAGTTAGTAGTTTTCCATTTACTTATGACAAAATAAGTCTGACTTTCCATGAGCTCTAGTTATTGCTGTTTAGTTCTTCTTCCTTTCTCCTTTCCCATCTTCTGTTTCTCAACTGATTTTCTTCAATCAAGCATCCATTTACACATCAGTAACTTTATTTAATTACATCGGAGTTTCATTGGTGTTATTAGAACTGCCTTAGATGTCATGTAACTGTTGGGAAGGCTTGGCCATAAAATTGAATGGTTTAGAAAAACCCAATTTGAATTTATTTGTTACCTGTTCGCACAAACAACTGTACCTAACGGAGTGTGGCATGGGGTTGGAAATGAGGAGCTGGAGGTGAGAGAAGAGGGGCTGCTTGGTCAACACAAGCAACGTTCGGAAGCGTAAAAGTGAGAAAACCCATGGGCTGAGACAGAGACAGTTTAACAGGTAAAGCAAAAGCCGCACACACAAGCAAAGCAAACCAAGGAATTCACTCCCCACTCCCCATGGGCAGGCCGGTGTTCAGCCATCTCCAGGACAGCAGGGCTCCATCACCCCTAACGGTGACTTGGGAAGACAAACGCCATCACTCCCAACGTCCCCCCTTCCTCCTTCTTCCCCCAGCTCTATACGCTGAGCATGACGTCATATGGCATGGGATATCCCTTGGGTCATTGGGGTCAGCTGTCCCGACTGTGTCCCCTCCCAACTCCGTGTGCCCCCCCAGCCTCCTCGCTGGTGGGGTGGGGTGAGAGGCTGAAAGGGCCTTGGCTCTGGGTAAGCACCGATCAGCAGGAGCGAAACATCCCTGGGTTATCAACGCTGTTTGCAGCACAAATCCAAACCAC